GTGGCCCAGCCCATGTCCCAGCCTGCCTCACTGCCAAGGAAACCTAGCACTAATCACCATCCTTCAACTCAGCTTTAGCTCACCTCACCCTAGAAACCAGCACCTGCTAGCCTTATAGGGAAATCAGACCTCCTAGCCAATCACGCCTTGTGTCTGTGTTGCCACTTCTAACGCTGCATAAAACACAGTCTTGCCCAAAATCCCTTGGGAAGAGAGCTCCGCCACTTGGGACGGTTTTCCATTGAAAAAAGGATATTAAACTGGTTATTAAATTGTATTATTTTTGTCATTTGATACCACTATAGGGAAGATATCAATAACAAGCTAGTAAATGAAGGTTGTCAATTAAAATGCAAAAGTATTTTGGGCTTATTCACTGCACAAGGAAACATGAGATGCCCTGGAATCTTGCGACTCATAAAGAAACTTGCAAGACGTTTTTCCAAATCTGACAAGAATCCTAAGTTTTACATGACATGGACAATAACGAGTTGCACAGAAGGGGAGGGAGCAGGGTTTGGGAACAATACCATATTTTGGCTTATGGAAAATCACAGTTAACTGACAGTAGGAATATAGAGAAAGCGTCAGGGTGGTCATCGGTAAGTCTTGTTTTGCACAAGTTGAGTTTCAGCTGCAAAGGGGACACCTAACTGGATGGAACTGAGTAGAGAGGATGGGGTCAGAAATAGGATCTGCAAGTTACCAAAATATAAAAAGAGGGCTTCCCTGGTGGCACGGTGGTTGAGAGTCCGCCTGCTGATGCAGGGAACACGGGTTTGTGCCCCAGTCTGGGAAGATCCCACATGCCGCAGAGTGGCTGGGCCCGTGAGCCATGGCCACTGAGCCTGCGCGTCCGGAGCCTGTGCTCCGCAAAGGGAGAGGCCACAACAGTGAGAGGCCTGCATACCGCAAAAAAAAAAAAAAAAAATTATATATGTGTGTGTGTATATATATATATATATATATACACACACATATATATAAAGAAACTGGGAGCAGATGAGATAACCCTGGGAGACAGGAAAGACAGAGGGAGACAACGGGAAAGCAGGTACAGTGCAAGGGCTGGGGGAGGAAAGGGAACCTTTAAAAATGATAATAATTGGTTCAAAAGGCAAGAAGAAAACTAAAGGAGTTTAGTGTCCCTGAAACCATGGAAAAAGTGAGCATAACAAAAGTGGGCAACAGCGCCAGAGACTTCAGAGGTCAAACTGTAAGAACTGAAAAGTATCGTTGGGTCGGCAACTCGGTCAGCTATGACCCCGGTGAGAACACCTGCACCTGACTGGCAAAGCCGGAAGTGAGGTTACGGTGCACTGAAGAGTGAACGACTCCTAAACGTCACAAGATAGTTTTCTAGGTGACAGGGGCAACTATCTGTAAAACACAAATGGCCAGGAAAGAGTTTGCTACTAATTCCTTTAACAGATCCCTCCCGGAGCTCCCTGGAAAACAGGCCTGGGGTGGAGACAATTCATCGGCAGCACACCAGCCAGGCCAGAGCCAGCACCCTTCCTCCCAACCCCAGGATTTCTCCAAGCAAGTAGACCACAGGGGTTTCTTTCTCTTTCCCCTTTCCCCTCTCCCCCGTACAACCTAGTCAAAGTGCAAATGAAAACCCTAAGTCCCCAGGGGTGGTGGGAGTGGAGAGGGCGGAGAAACAGGTGGGTTGGGTGGGGGAAGGACAGGCAGGCGAAGGCAGCTGAAAGAAGGAAGCTGTTGTAATTACCGGTGTAAGCATATGGGGTGGGGGGCGATACAATGTTTTATGTTTGAGGCTGTCTAATTCTATAAACAGAATTAATCAGACACCTAATTTACAATTACATAACTAAGTGTTACTGTCGTAAAGCCTAATCTCAAAAAAGAAAAAGGGAAAAGCATTCCTAAATCCACTTCATTGAGTTTCAAGTATACACAATTTAAAAGTGAAATTTATTTTGCGGGGGAGGAATGGTTCAATTTCTAACACTTTCTAATACCTCTGTCAAACAGTGAAGTACAACCTGGCAGCAAGAGATGAATTTCAGGCAGAGCATGACACTACCAATAAATATAACCATCAAATAGAACCCCTTTCCAAAAATATCTGGTGTAACCACTTTTTTAAAAAGTTCTATTCATCTTGAGAACCCTAAGTTATCTATGTGTTCCTACGGAATAAATCACGAAGAAACTATGGATGGGCTGATAACAGGGAAATCATTTCGTCTGACTTTTCTAGTGATACCAAAGCACGGGCAAAAAAGACACATGACGTCAATATTAAATTATCCCCTTGGTTAACTGATGCTCAGTTGTTACAGAAATATAATTATAGAACAAAGAAGGAAAAGCAAAACACCATCGAGGCCTTAGAAAGCTTTGTCTTAATTTCAAAAAGCTGTTTGTTACAAAGAAATCCTATAAAATCTTTCAAGGTGGGTGTTTTTGTCACTGTTAGTTTTAGGGTTTTTTAATTAACTGGCTAGAAAAACACTGTTGGTCCTTGATGACAAACACTGATTTGCTTTGTGCAGACTAAAGACTACCTTAATGCCGAGAGCTAACAGTAAAAGAACAATTACTGCTTAGAGAAGCCAAAATATGCTCCGCCAATCACAAAGGATAGTCAAACTGAAAAAAGCCACTTTGGACACCAGAACCTCTACATTTAAGTTAGTAAAGTCCCCCTATAATAGTAATTTCTTCATGTAAAATTATTTTTACAGTATTTTAAGGTGCTCACATCTCTCATGTGATTCTCACAAATAAGGAGTTGGAGGGACTTCCCTGGTGGTACAGTGGTTAGGAATCCGCCTGCCAATGCAGGGTACACAGGTTCGAGCCCTGGTCCGGGAAGATCCCACATGCCACGGAGCAACTAAGCCCATGTGCCACAACTACCGAGCCTGCGCTCTAGAGCCCGCGAGCCACAACTACTGAGCCCACGCGCCTAGAGCCTGTGCTCCACAAGAGAAGCCACCGCAACAAGAAGCCCGTGCACCACAACGAAGAGTAGCCCCTGCTCGCTGCAACGAGAGAAAGCCTGCGCGCAGCAACGAAGACCCAACGCAGCCCAAAGAAATTAATCATTAAAATTTCTAAAAAAAAATAAAAATAAGGAGTTGGAGAGGAAGGCCATTATTACTACCCATGTGTAATAATTTCAGTAAACAAATTTCCTAGAGCAGCAAGGGACAAGCTCTCACTGCCACTCGGAACAAAGGCATCCTGAGTCACCACACATGTGGGAATGTGACACAAGTCCATGCTATGAGCCAGTGAGGCTCTTTACAGTGGATTTCATTCCAGTGTGGTTAACATATGGCTAAATCAATGGACTGACGCAACTCAATATAATATATAAACCACTTCTGTAAGTATAAAACCTTCCACTTCTCAAAGCTCGCCTAACAACCTACATTGTCCTACACTCAGTAACTTGGTGGAAACAGCAAAGAGACCCTAAAAAGCATGTGGTCAGCTGATTAGTTAGTAGCAGTGTAGAGAGAGGAACCCAGGTCTCTACTTCCCCAGCTCCCAGCCATTACTGCTTAAACAGAAGATAACATAGTACCTACAAAGCCAAGGATAAACTGGGAAGACAAGAGATAGTTAGATCAGTTTCTAACTCATTTTCTACAGAATACTAAAAAATGTATGCCTGGAGGGCCTGAACCAGCAAAAGGAATGAGAGCTCTCTATCTGGAGTGGTCATGGGGGCACAGAAAGCTGAATGCTTTTAAGGAAAAGCAAAACAAAGCATCAATGTCACTGCAGAGCCTACAATAATAATAAACGCCTAAAAATCCTGAACACGATTTTTGCAAGGTTATTATTAACTAAGACAAACCATTAGAAAAATCTACATGATCAAACTGATTTAATTTAAACAAAGTGTTGGACCAAAATGGCAACTTCAAGAATGATAAGGCCCAAAAGCTTAAAAATTAAACAGCGCTGACCTTTAGAATATTTACCTTGAATTCTATGATGAAGGGTAGCACCTCATTAGATGAATAGCCTTTATACTGCTTTCAGAAATACAGCTATTAAGCGTTCACTAAATTCAATATCTATAATCCAACCCATTAAAGGTAAAGTGCAATGTTTCATAACAACAGGAGTATAGATTGACACAGACTTGTTATTTTTCTGGCACAGTCTTTAGCAATCAGAAAACAAAATTTGACCTACAGCTCTCTCCTTCATCACAATCACTGAATGGTTCTGAGGACCTAGTTTTCTCACCAAATAATAAAATCATCCGTTTTCTCTATGATGTCAACTTTCTGAAACACAAAGAACACAGCAGTTGCATTGCTAAGAACAGTAGCCACCAGGTACTGAGTGCCTTCTGTGTGCCACAGCCTGGGCCACCGATTTTATATGTGTTATCTCATCTCACCCCTAAAACAAAACTCACAAAAGAGAAGTGTCCAAGTGGGCCACCCGGCTAGAAAGCAGCAGAATCTGAATATGAACTCAAGAACATCTAACACTCACTGTGTTTTTGCAAACTCAGCAAGCACACCTGCAAGTCCTGGAAGCACCAGAACTGCCTAAAGGAGCCTGAGAGAGCACAGAGCCTAAGAGAACTCAACAATATTCAAACCCTTTATATCTGTTTTTCATAGAAACCTTCAAGTGTGAGAGCAACTCCGTCATTCTTTAAAATCTGTAAGGAAGTCATTCTTAACCTTTTTAGGAATCTGATGAAAGCTACGGATCTTCTTCCCAGAGACTGACATACAAAAATTTTGCATCATTTTAGAAGGTTCAGACTCCTAACATCCATCTACATATTTTTAAAATTCTCAATTGATTGAGCTAAGAATCAACAGAATGAGATTAAAAAAGTACAAACTGGCACAAGAGTTCTTTGGAAATTGTTTTAACTGTTAGCACAACTCTGCTCATGTAAGTGAGCCTAGTTTTCATGCTTCTGACAAATCTACTGCAAAGACGTCACCAAATGAAAGGAGGGAGTTTTAGATGCCACCGCTGATACTCACCGTTTTCCTGCGCAATTCTTATCATGCAGGCCACCAATCTTGTTTATGGCAGACCAGGCTGTGAGGGCCACGTATGGCAGAGAGGCAGCTTGAGCATGAGTGAGTGACTTGGGCTTGTGCGAGACCTAGATTTGAAGATAAGTCAAAAATAAGTAATGACTTGCAAACCTATGAACACAATTAAGTACATCTATCTTCACAGGAATCCGACTATCTTCAGAGATATAACATTCGGCCAGGTTCAGTGGTTATTGCAAACCCTACTCCAAGATTATCCCTAAGGAATTTCTCCAAGTGACTCAACCTGCCTCGCAGAGGTTCAGAAAGGTTTTATAGGTCACATTATCAGATACTGCTGCATAATGCTTCATAAAAAGACCACATTCAACAATACCATTAGTCCTAACTATACCCAGAAATAAACCCAAATAAACCTTGAACCCTCATAAATACAATCTAATTTGTTTTTGTGATCAGCTGTTTCCTTCACCCCCATTTACTGGAAGGTAATCTTTCCGACTTTTTCTAATCTTATCTTTTTTCTAATCCTTTTTCCCTTCCTGCCCTCCCTTCTGTAGGCAATTTCCTTAATATTAACCCCCTTCTTTCTAATTAAATCGTTAGGCCTCCTGACTGGATTTGATTAGACTCCTGTTTTGAAAGTTATCTGAAACAGCTTGGTACTTCCATGCTTCTGTTTATGATGCATCGGTATGCGCCACTTGGTATATTTGGTTTCAACTATTTATACTGGATAAAACCAAGAAACACAGCAGCGTTTCTAGATCTTGCTCCAAATCCCTGTTCCACAAGACAAAGATAAAAACGCTTTGGCAGGCAGTGTTATTTAAACGACATCCAATACTTTTTTAGATCTTTTAAAAATTCCTATTCTCTATCTCGGTTCTTTCAAAACTACCCATAAAACTTGAACCTGATCTCAAAAAAAAAAAAAAAAACTCCAATTATTTCAGAGATATTTGTCAGTCTTTGTTTCTACTTTCCAGTGGCATTTCAGCACAGAACTGGTGAGTTACCTCATTCCCACTGACTACAACAAACTCTGAGAGAGTGCCTTGCTTCCAGGGAGGAACTGCAGCCCAGACCTGAAACACACACAACTTCGTTAGAAACAGATCTTTTTAAGACAAAGTTAAGCATGAGAGTGTTCCCCAATACATATGCCACCCTGTGATAAAAACCACAAGTCAGCAATCCAGCAAATAATAGAGTTATTTTCACATGATATCAATGTATTATTTAGTATGATTCTAGATTTACCAAGTCAAACCAGTTTGGAGGTAGATAACCAGTAAATCCTGCTGTATTTACTGGCTACTTAGAGTACCCGTAAGAACACAGTCTCTGGGGCCTGAATCCTGGCTCTACCACTTATTAGCTGTGGGACCTCTTTATAGCTTGACTTTCCTCACCTGTAAACTGGGCCTAACTGTACTTACTTCATAGGGATTAAATGAGTTATTTTATGAAAAACAACTAGAACAGTGCTAGCTATTATTATAAGCTGACCTTAATTTCTTGGTATAAAAGTTCAAAGTGACAAGGGACAGGTGATTATATCAACCTTCAGCTATTTTAAAACCATCTAACCCATAAGGTAGAAATTGTCATTTAAAGACTTAAAAAGTCCCAATCATATATATCTTAAAGTCTTGCAATTCTTAAGCACTAGATTTAGAAAAGTTCAAGCACAGCAAGCTATTGTGACAGAACTAGAAACAACAGAAAGAAGAACTGAACCAAGAAAATGAGGGCTCCAGCCAAAGCTCACTATATTTGTTGAAAAGAAGAAAAAAGGTCAATGATATGGAATATATTTCCAAAAGCAGCAGAATGAAATCTGCAAATTTTGAGAAGGAATAGTGGAATGTGATAACTCACCTCATCGCCAGGCTTGAAGTACCTCACATCAAGTCCACACTCCATCACCACACCAGACACATCCCGGCCCAGAGTCAGGGGAAATTCTTCTCCTTTGATTTTAATATGTAAAGGATCACGTTTCATATTTAAAGCTGTAGCTCCATAGCCACCTATGAAATACAAGTTATTTGTTTCTTCCAAAAGAATGGGATGATTTCAAAACTACTGCAGGGTTACAGGCCAGGTACAATTCTAGATCTTCAAGATGCAGATTATAAAGTAATCAACCTTATACATTTTTTACCATCACACAAGAAAGCATAAAAACAATGAATGTTGTTCCTTTCAAAAAAAATTATTTGGACAGTCATAATCACTGTTTTTAATTTTTATTTTATACTGGAGTATAGTTGATTCACAATCACTGTTTTTGAAATTCCAATTTTGAAACTGTCTTCAGAACTTTAAGTATTTCCTTTTATAGGTTTTACTTTGTTCTTTGAAGATGGTTTCTTTGTTAATTTATTCATTCATGGACTTTTTAAATAACAAAGTCATCGGAAGCCAAGTCTGGTGAAGAAGATAATGTTAAAGTTGTCTGGTTAATAAACAAATAAATAAGGCATGGATATAGTAGTTGACACTGACACTGGTCTATGAGTAATTGTCCCTGCCTCACAAAAAAAATGTTTCTAGAACATCTCTGGGTTAAGTGCAAGGTTCCCAAATGGAAAAGAACCACTTGGCTGCATCAGTTCTGATATATTAAATCAGGTTGGCTGCTTTATTATACATCATTTTATTTTTAAGAACATTTACATAAACATCAGCTAAACAGAGCTGAAAACATTCCTCTGATCAGTATTTTTTTGGTTCAAATAAATTGGCTATGATAATCCAAAGTAGTTTATTACACAGCTTCAACATCTAAAATGGCTTTTCTAAGACACAAAAGTACTGTTGTCATCTCTTCTGCTCGACATCCTTCTAAGAACATTTCTGCTATGTAAGGTTCTCCAAGATAAGCACCCTGCTTACCTTTCTAGTGTCATGTACCACAATTTATGCTCCAGAATCACTAAGCCACTCAGTAAGTCTCCCCTTTTCTCCCACTCATCCTCATTAAATCCTAAGGATGGGGAGAAACCAGCAAAGGAGCCTGAGAAGGCTTGGCCACTGAAAAGGTGTTCAGAAAGCCAAGAGAAGAGGGTCATTTAAAGAAGTCAAATACTGCTGATGGGGAAGACAGTTTTTCAAATAAGGTCAAAAGCTGCCAATAGGCTTTTAAAAAACAAAACCCCCCAAACAAACAAACAAAACAAAATACTAGATCCAACAACACAGCAGTCTTTCGTGACCTTCATAGGAGCGGTTGCTGTGGCATGGGGTGACAGAGAGAATGGGAGTGAGGAATTGGAGATCATGAGAATATTCAACTCTTTCAAATAGTTTTGCTTACAGAGAAGAGCAAAAAAATGGGACAGTGGCTGGAGGGGAACTAGTGCGATAGAGGAAGGATGTTTAAGGTTGTTTTTTTTTTCCTCTTTAAGAATGGAGAAATTAACAGCAAGTTTGTATGCCAATGGGAATGATCCAGTGGAAAGGAAAAGACTGAAGATGCAGGAGAGAACTGCTGAAACAATGCTCCTGTGTGGGTGAGAGGGCATGGGGTCTAGAACCCAGGTGGAGAGCTGGGCTTAGATGAAAGCAATGACAGTTAATCCATGCAGCAGGAGGTAGAGGATACAGGGAGAGAGGCTGACAGGAGGGTAGCTTGCAGAAGTTGCTTTTAATAAAAATCAAGACACATGGAAGAAAGTGTTTGAAAGTTGGGAAAGTCCCAGAAAATCTAAGCTGATGGCCACCATGCCAATATTACATACTTGCCAGCTGGCTGGTTACGAGTGCATTCTATCAGGGGAAAGAAAAACTTCACATGTAATACTCACAAAAGTCACATTTTACTTTCCTGTCTTACATTCCTTTTCCACTCTCAAACACAATTAAACAATTATTCACTGAAATTCCTATGTGGTTTGATGAACAGAAGCGGGCATTTAGCTATGTCAAATTTTAGCTGCTGTTTCAGAGCTGCAAAAAAAAAAAATCTTCAGTCCTCTCTAAGCTACACAGCCTGCAGGGCAAGGTTGTTTTCTTGGTCACCTCGATATCACCTGCGTTAACTCTGGCTCATTGGTACCAGCTAAACTAGCCCCAAATCCAGAAACAGCTGGTAGTTAGGAACTGAGAACCTGCTTGGTGACACAATGAATGGGAACCCTTAGGAGCTCTGTCCCATTCTTAGAGGTGACCAGTTTGGTTCAGAGTTGGAGTGGTTTGGAAAATCCTAAATCTGCCCTCTGTTTCAAAAGCTTTAATTCCATCTAAAGAAACCAAACTTTGTTGGTATGAGGCTGTTGGCTGTATTTTTTTTCTATTTTAAGATTATTCATTAGCCATTTATATGATTTATGATTTTATGTCCAACAATAGTGGACATCTCCAGAAAAACAGCTGGCTTTCATCTTTCAAAACAGACACGTCCTTGCTTTCTCGTCAAGGGAAATAACTGCTCCCTACACTTTACGATCTTATACTCATTATTTTATTTCCCCATATTTCAGTTATCTTCCGCAACGATAATCACACATTCTCCAAAAAGAATTCATGAGCAGGAAATAAAGAGGATAACTTGCAAATAATATTACCCACTCAAGTCATAAAAAACTAAGATGTCTCAAGAATACTATATAAAAGTAAAATGTGTTATAATATTACATTAAATAGCAGCCTAGAAAGTCCAGATGCAGCCATTCTACTGAAGTTAAAATGTACACGATACAAATTGTGCATGTGCATTCAAAGAAACGAAAAGTTAACAGACCTAAATGAAGATGAAAACCACTTATTTTAGTTTGTAACCTTAAATTAGAATGAAAATATAAAATGACATTGAAAATAATGACTGGGCTTCCCTGGTGGCGCAGTGGTTGAGAGTCCGCCTGCCGATGCAGGGGACGCGGGTTCGTGCCCCGGTCTGGGAGGATCCCACATGCCGCGGAGCGGCTGGGCTCGTGAGCCATGGCTGCTGAGCCTGCGCGTCCAGAGCCTGTGCTCCACAACAGGAGAGGCCACAACGTACCGCAAAAAAAAAAAAAAAAGACTGAATAACAGCTACACATGTGAAGCATACAAACAGGCTACAGTTGACAGGGCATGGGCTCTACCTACAAAGAGCTTATAATCAAGGAAATGAAAAAAACATAATGGTCACTGGGTATAAATCTACCACTTAAAGATAATTCTGATAAAACCTACATTATCTTCATGCACAATGTAAATGGAATAAACTGAAACAATATGCCCAACTAGTAATAGCAATTATTACTTTAAAGCGAACAAAAAGAATACAAATGTGTATTTCATGAGGCAATCATCATAAAGTCATTTTAATTAATTCTTAATAGACCTCTCCAGCTACATTTTGAGTCCAAGTCTTTCCCCAAACTCCCTCCTCACAAAGAAATACGTAAGTTATTCCTCACATGTCTAGATCAGCACTGTCCAATAGAGATATAATGCAAGCCACATATCTAACTTAAAATTTTCTAGTAGCCACTATAAAAAGAAAGAAGTGAAATTAATGTTAATATTTTACTTAATATATCCAAAATATTATCAGGTTAATATGTAATTAACATAAAATTATTAATAAGATATTTTACATTCATTTTTTCTAAGCCTTTGAAATCTAGTGTATATTTTACACTAACTGTACATCCCACGCTAGCCACATTTCAATTGCTCGTTTTTTTCATTATTTTCCAAAGTTAAAGTAATTCACAAATGGTAATCAATCTTTTCAGCACTATAATAATTGCATGAGGAATACAGTACTCTCCAAGCTTTGTCAATATCCACCAGCAGAAATTAAGATAACATTATTCCCATGGAGGATGGCGCAAAACAGAAAAGTGTATTTTAACTTTGCAGAATGCAACAGCAAAAATGAGGAAAGTACTGTGTCTATATCCTGGCATCCTGTTCTGCTGCTTTGTCCACTGGACCATTAAACAAAGCTGTGATTAGTGGGAGGGAAATAAAAATTACTATGGAAATGCTAATTCTGAACTGATATGAAAACATAAGCATACCTCTAAAACCTGTGATGGACCTCAGAATATCACAAAGTTCCCAGGAGAGTGTACCACAAAGTTAGCTGTGGATACAATTCTCAAGTCCCAATTTACATTTTTAGGTAGTATTGGAAGCAACTGAAACTTATATGTTGTGAAAGATTAAAGCATACCGTAGACATTGCAATTTCAAAAATTTTGGAAATAATATATACTGAGATACTGTCAAAACCCTAAACAATTCCTTTGTGTTAACCAAACAAGTGTAGTCAATAACAACTGACCTTTTAAAACTAATCCCTGATGAGATTATCTGAAGAAAAAAAAAAGGTAATTGAGGAATGTCTTTTGAAACTTACTTCTCATATTAACATCTATAGGATTTATACTCGCAGCGTGAACTTTGATAATGACTTCATTTGGATAGTGTATCATTGGTATCATCATGTTCTGAGTAAATCGAAGCACTTCATTACTCCCATATTTATCTATCACCCAAGCGGGCATGACAGTGCTCCTTGGAGAGGTAGTACTAATCTTTCTAACTGAAGGCTTTTGTACAACTTGTCTTCTCCAGAAGCAAACCGCAGTGCATGCATTTCTTCTAAGTACACAGGTCTTCAGAAATCCCATCGTAAACAGTGGTTGAATTGCGTGCCCTAATTGAAAGGCACTTATACCGGCTCAAACCCTCACACCTGAATTCGGTCAAATTCTGCCAAACACTCTGGCCGGTTTCAAAGTTGAGAATTCAAAAATGAAATTAGACTGATGGAGCAACTGAAAAAAGAAGAGTACGGAACTACTCTACTCTTCACATCTGAAATGCTCCAATTAACGTTCCAGCCAGTATTCTGTCCATTCTCCTCCTCCCTTACACCCCCTCCCCTTAAAAACAAAACCAAAACCGCTAGAATCCTGCCCTGTCCCGGGAGCTCTCTGCGGGACAAGCCGACTCCGCTCGCGATTCGGATGTCAGAGAAATTCACACACTTCCAGGCTCCCGCCGCGACCTCCGGAGTCTCCTTGCCACC